CTGCCCCGCCCCCCCCCCCCCCAGCGAGTAGCTGGGGGTGCACAAGGAGGTGGAGGGGACACAGCCAGGACAGCTGACCCCAATGACCAAAGGGATATCCCATACCGTATGATGTCATGGTCAGCGCATAAAGCTGGGGGAAGAAGGAGGAAGGGGGGTGATGTTCAGAGTGATGGCATTTGCCTTCCCAAGTCACCGTTATGCGTGATGGAGCCCTGCTGTCCTGGAGATGGCTGAACACCTGCCTGCGATGGGAAGTGGGGAATGAATTCCTTGTGTTGCTTTGCTTGCATGTGCAGCTTTTGCTTTACCTATTAAACTGTCTTCATCTCAACCCACGAGTTTTCTCACTTTTCCTCTCCTGTGGGGGAAGTGAGTGAGCTGCTGTGTGGGGCTGAGCTGCCGTCTGGGGTTAAACCACAACAGTCAGTTTGGGTCAGCTGCCCTGGCTACCTCCCCTCCCAAGGTCTTACCAACCCCCAGCCTATTTTATTAAAACAGCATGTGCTAATGTTTTGCTAATGTAAACTAGAATCTGATGATGATATGTAACACTTTCCTATATTTTTATCAGTAGAGAACTAACTGCTTTTTTTAATCTGCAGAAAGTTTATTGCTTGGTTTTCTTATTTCTCAAGGGCAAATCAGTGATGTCTTGTTAGTAAATTGTAATTTATGTTAGTTTGAACTTTCTACTCATACATAACTGTACAAAGAGAGCAAATAACTGTTGCGTTTTATGTTGTGTGATAACAGAGGAAAGTCAAGTCTAATGTTTATTGCAATAGCATGGCATTCCAGAGGCCTGAGTTCTTTATGCCATGCATGCAGGTTGCTGCATTCTGAAATTAAAAACCTTGAATTTGAAGTAATTTTCAGACAGGACAAGTAAATCTTTCATTTTTTTTTTCTTTTTATTTATATCTCATCTGTCTTCTGGATATCTAAATTACTAACCCACGAAGGGGATTTCCAGTGCATTCTGCAGTTGTTTTAACCTTAATTCAGCATTTGCCTCCAGGTCCAAACAGTTCTTCAGCTGATGGGATGCTAATTTTCACAATATTGTAAAAACTTTTTTTTTTGTTTGCAGTCTTACAGAGTGTGCGCGTCAGTATCCCACCATTTTTGAATCGGTTGAAAAATTTGTCAGCCTAGTTAAAGGCCTCTTGGAGAAACTGCTGGATTACCGAACTGTGATGAATGATGAAAGCAAGGACAACCGCATGAGCTGCACTGTGAACTTACTGGTATGTGCTCTCTTGTCATTCTTGTGTGAGAATGGAGAAGAGCTTTAGAAGCCATTTACTAAAGGTGAAAGTAAATCTTCCTGGGGACAGGAGTGGTTAACCATGCTCAGTAGTGATTTAAATCACTAAGGCAAGAGATTTTTATGTCTATTTGCATGGATATATGCACAAACCTGAAAGTAACATCCACTCAGTTCTTTGATTTTGCTTGAATGTTTTATCCACTCTGATTCTGTGGATAAATAAGGAAGTCTGCTCATACACCTTTACCTTTTGATAGGCTTAACGTAACAGTGGCCTTTTGCCAGAGTTGAGTTTTGCCAGAGAAACTAATCCACTTGCTGCTTAGCAACTCAACAATTACGGGTTTTAAATCGGGGGAAGAAACCGGCAAGATACACCTGCAGTAAGGTGCCAAGAAGATTTGAGTCTCTGATCTGGTTCTAGGCCACCCAGTCTTTTTTTCTATTCATATTTTGTAATGAGGATATCGCAGAAATTCTTCTAAGCTGCAGAGGAGCCTTCGTCAACTTTAAAGGTTGGAAAGAGAAGATGGTTAATATATATTGCACTCACATACTCTCTGTTCCTCAGTAATCACTGTGCAATGTGGTATAAATTTCTGCAACTCTTCAGGAGGCAATTTTTGTCATATATTTTGCACAGCCTTAGCAACTTCTATACCTGCAGGTGTGTTATGGTGACAGAAGTGGGCTTTATTCCTGGAATTAGTCCCTTCAGAGGTTGCACAACAGTGTTACATATCAACTTCTATAAATACCAGCTTCTTTTCTGGCCATCAGCTGTAGCCAGAGCATGTCATTAATGATGTTAATGCATTTGGCTAACCATGTTTTCCTCTGCTCCAACAGAAAAACTTTCACTAATTATTTCATTAATGAACTAGAAGTATACATGTGTATGTATAGTGCATACTAATAACTAATTGAAGTATTAATTGAAGCAGTAGTGCCAGGTTTAAACTTAAGATAGTCTGTAAATAATATATCACTTATGCTATCCAACTAGCAAGAAAAGCAAAACCTCAGCATATGTATTTTTTTCTTGTGTTTTAATAAAAGACTTAAGGAAATAACTTGTAAATGTTTGTGTCCCTAGAATTTCTACAAGCACATTAACCGGGAAGAGATGTATATCAGGTATGGCAGTTCTATTGGATCTGTTCTGGAGAGGGCAATAATATTATGAATTCTGTTTTTATTATTGTACTTGGATTTCTGTTACTTAACGTTAGTTTACCGTCCACAATGACTCTGTTGTAGCCCTGGCCTCATTTATATCCTTATTCCATTGTGTGCTTAGCCTTCAGAGATTTGGAATCTATCATATGTATTCAGCAGCAGCATTTTTTTCCGCAAGAATCAATTTTTAGTTGGTCAAATAATCCACCATTCATTGTCTATTGTTTTAAATAAAGAAAATGCAGGCAGCTAGATTTGAGGTTTGATGGAGGGTATAATGTACATTTAGAATGGCAGAAAAACCATTCCAGTTTTGTAGAATTGTGCAGTCTGCCAAGTCACTTTAAATATGCAATACTACATGCAATGCAGAAGTACTAGTAAAACATTTTTCTGTAAGCGCTACAGCTATAATGGCAAATTCTCAGCAAATTCTTTCAGATGTGACATGGCCTTTTACTGTCTCCAAGGGTTTTCTATATGAGCTGCAGCTAAGCTTGCTGTTCAAAAGCTTACTGTTTCCTGCCTCCCCTCTCATTCTGCAAAATCTGCAGAACTACCTGCACCTCAGCCACTGCAGTCCAAAGCCCAGAACCTGAGCTGAAATGAGCACCGAAGGTGATTCAGAGCTAAAACTGGAGCTATGAGCTGGAGTGGCCAGGGAGAAACAGTGCTCCCGGTGCAGTCATTGCTGAGGGGGATGCGTTTTCAGCTGGGATGACATCTGGGAATGGCAATGCCTTGAACTGCTACAGCAAAGGGTCAGAGTTCCTATCTGCTGTATGTCTAAGAGGATGGGATGTGCTTTTTCTTTCTGGCTGCTGGAAAAGAAGTGGCTTCACGTGATGGGCAGTGGTTGTGCTGGTAGCAGCAATGCTGCCCTAGGGATCAAGGAGAACACTGGCAACATAGAACGACTCTTCTGCCCCTACCACCTTCTAAGTTGTACAGGGACTTGCTTTGTCTTTTTGGGCTGGTATTTTCCGTTTTCTCCTTTACCTTGTGTTATCTGTTGTTCTTACATCTATTTACAGGGGAAATGTTTACATGCAGTTGAAAAGTGCTACAGAGAAAGGCAGCTACCTATAGTAACAGGCCAGAAATAATGGACTCAGAGGTCTGACTTAGACCTTGAGTCTAGTGGTTCTTAGGGGTGGAGCTGACAGCAATTCACAGGAGGAGGTTAGTTACCTCTTCCTCCTCCTTTTGTGCACAATGTTTCAGCGTGCAAAGAACACAGAAAAGTCGGAACAAATGCACAGAGCTTTAACATCTCTGTGTCCTTAAAGACTCTTTGGGTAGTGACTGCATGACATCCATGAAGGTTTCCATTACGGACTTTATCTAGAACTTTTTTGATACTCAGTATCGTAGTCATGTCAGTATCTATTCTAATGCTTCTTCTCTCCTCTAACAGGTATTTGTATAAATTAAGAGATCTTCATTTAGATTGTGAGAATTACACAGAAGCAGCATATACCCTTCTACTCCATACGTGGCTCTTGAAGGTTAGCTTTTCTAAACTCAATATATAAATAAGCTTTTCCAATTTTCAGATTTATAAATTAAAAAGTGATTGTCTTAATCTCCAATTTACACATTAGTTTACATATTAGTTACTTTTTTAATTAACTAATATTTACATATTAGTTACTTTTGTTAGGGATGTTCAAGTTTCCAGTTAAAAATACTGTAGTAGGTCACAAAAAATTAAGATTAATTGTCAAAATTGTGTTTTCAATAGGTGATTAAAAGCTACATGTTGGTAAAACTAGTTTGGTAAAACAAAAATAGTTTTGCTTTATAGTGAGAACATTGTGTGCAAATTCTGAAGCCATTTAACTTGTGATTTCCATTTTGCAAATTTCTTACTATCCCAACCATAACAATGATGAAAATTAAACACAATTTTTTCCAGCTATCACAGGGCAACACCTGACTTTTCATTTTAAATAATATGGATCACGCTGCCAAATTATGTTTGCTTTCTTTGTACCTGGCAATTATTTTTTCACTACAACTAATGCTTATTCTTATTGTAACTGACATTATCAATAGAAATGGTCAGTAAGATGCATTTCCGTTTCAAGGGAAAATTCAAAATTTAAATGTTCTTCAGCAAAACTTTGAGATTTCTTATGGAATTTCTTTTAGTGCAAAACCATATCAATTTGGCTTTTTACAGTGCTATTTTGCTTAAACTTCATTTTCACTTTTCTGATCATACAAAAATATGAGGTATATTGTATGTATTGGTATAGGCAAAGATAATATATACAAATATTTTAATTAAAAAAAAAATCAAAACCAAATCGGTTAGGATGACACCACTGAAATAAAATTAACTAATTTTCAAACATTGATTTTTATCCAAAATTTTTGAGTCGGAGCAGGAAGGAACACAGGTTTTTAAAATGTTATGTCTAGTCCTGGTTATCACATGAAATACAGTACTAGTTTGAAGAGGTAATGAAAACATTTCCAGTTTCTTTGTGGAAGGGTGAAAAAGACTGGGGGGAAAAAAAACAGTTAGGAGAGCTTGGGGAACCAGATCTTGAGGGAGTGGGTCCATGTGTGTGAAATGTTGAATCCCCAAATCACATGGTGTGTTAATGTGTTTTTATTCTCAGTGGTCAGACGAACAGTGTGCACCCCAAGTCATGTCGACAGAGTTCCAGTGTTCACAGACCTATCGACACTTGAAAGAGAATTTGTATGAGAAGATCATAGAATACTTTGACAAAGGAAAGGTAGGTCTGTAGCTTTCTTCCCCCTGCCAAATCTTTTTACTGTGTTCCTTTGTACAGTAGTATTTAATGAATATTCTCTGTATAAAACGTTTGTGTA